TACATATATAAACATAAAATGTTAACGAGGGCCAGATTTGTCCTGCAGGCTTTTAGTTGACAGGTGGCCTAACAATGAAACCTACAATCTTAACCTCTTCTTATTGAAATTTGGTTTAGAATTTTTAAACGATCATAAAAGAAAACAGAAAAATTCAGGCTCTAACTGTTAACTGAATCATCTGAATTGATGTACCCCCACTTTAATCTTCACCTGTAATGATAATCAACATTTAATAAAATAAACAGCCAAACTTCAGTCCTATCATTTCAGAAATCCGCTTTGGTCTTGGTCTCACTCAACCTAGCTGTTAGCTCATCAGTCTCGTCTCAATTACTTCAAAGTGAGGTTGTTTATGGAACCATCTACAACAGGTACAGTGTTTGTTGTTTTTAGCCTTTCTCTTGACTTGAAATGCTCTGAACCATCCCTTCAAGAAAAACAAGTAACACATGATTCCATGGCTTACCATGTTTCATAGTTTCTTGGGATGGTAAAACAATCTGGAGTGCTATCGCTGTAGTTTATACTGTATCAAGTGACCAATTAAAACTGTGTAAACATTTATGTCAAATCCAAATATTTAATGAATTATATTGTAATTAAGTAACCAAAGTTTTCAAATGTATTTTTGGTTTGATTTAAAAAAAAGTCCAGATAAGGATTTTCCCCCATTTCCAGGCTCAACACTTCTTCTGATTGTATTTTGTTTTTCAGTTTAGTCAAGCCTAACTTTCTTAAAGCCAAGAAAAATGATCAAACATTTAACTATTATTCAAATCATAATTTAACCACATTATAAAAATCAAGTCAAGATTATCTTTTATATTAAAACAGTTTATTGATTTATCAACAACTGTCTACTGTACAGACCTTATGGGTGATGATGTGTATGCCACACAGTAAACTTGTGTTTATGCAAGTTTTTGTCTGAGAGGATTGAAGTGGAACATTATAAAATACTGAAGAAAGCAAACAGTGGATCCAGAATGCCAGATGTGGTAATGGCTTTGCCTTGCCATCTATGATGTGTATCCAATTAGGTCTTGCATGTCAGTCACAGGCCGTCAAACTGAGAAAGGCAATAATTAACATGTACAGACTGATGACTTTGCTGAATGGAATTGTTTTTTTCTTATAATAGTGAAGCCAACAGACTGAGCTCAAACCACTGCTGCTTAAATTTTGTAAAACCATCAGTCCTCCTGTTGTTAGTTATCCATTTCAATCATGAAAGCAGCCGGTGTTCATTGACAGATATTCATTTAAAAGTTGAACATCTATGAACAGGGACAAATGTTGAAACAATGAAATTCTCCTTCTTCCAGTTTGAAAAAAGGGCATTTTCCAGAGCCTTCTACTGCTAAAAACCAGGGGATAAATGTCTGTTTTATACCAAATAGCAAAAAAAGCTGTTGTCAGGGAAAAAAATCCAAATTGGATTATCAAAAAGGTTGTTCTNGAAATAGAATATCCTCTTACAAAGTCCTAATCTAATTTCCATCCCTGAAGGGGACAAATAAAAATCATAGACAGAACAAGAAAGAACCATCACAAGCGAAATTGGACACCAAAATATAAATCTATAAAAGGCCATTTATTACTCCATTATGTACACTTTTCACAGGACCTCCAAAAAAAAAAGCTCCAAAGCGAAGCGCCGCTTCTTGTTGCATCATGGAAGTTTATCTCCACAATAAAAAGGATGAAAAAAAAAAATCCAACAAACAGAAAGAAAAAAAAACAGCAACCTTTTTTTTCTTAGTGCTTTCAGAAACTGCACTGTACAAGTGTTGGATCGATGATGGAGGGCAGAGGTGCATGACACAAAATCCAGGGCCAAAACAGCACTATCATCCATTTCAGTCTGGCGCTGCCAAACTTCCTGCCCTCCCTCCTGAACTGCGGGCAGAATCCAGAATCCATGCCGTTTGCGTGAGGGAAGATGGATGGAGTAAGAGTTTGCTGTTCCTGAGCATCACCGTGCTCCAAATCCAGTTTGTTCAGTAAATCACTTCATATACAGTGGCCTTCTTGTCTCCAGAGCCTGTTACGATGTACTTGTCGTCCGTTGAGATGTCACAGCTCAGGACAGATGAGGATTCCTTGGACTGTTTAGGGGAAAAGATGACAAAAAAAAGTCTTAGAGGCAGTAACAACACTCAAATCCATTTAAAGAAGAACATATCATGTTTGTAAATCCTTCTTTTTCACGTTTAAATCCTTCAGCTGGGGTCTATATAAAGTGGAACTGCAATGCTTTGGTCAGATTTCCTCCTTATTGTAACTCCACAAGCCCCTCTTTCACCCCCTTTCTGAGGTGTGTCTCAGATCAACTCATTTTGAGGCTGTCTCTTTAAATCCAAACAAGGTGCTTCACACCCACCCCTCCTTCATTCTCCAGAGCGATTGTTTCTAGTTTGATAGAGGTTTACAACTATAGTGGCTCCGAAACTTTTTGTTCACAAATTATTTAAAAGAAGTCAACAAGAGAAGACTGGCCCATCCACTTGCCCATGATTTTATATTGACTATGATTGTATGCATTTGTAATGTATATTTATGATGGCTTTTTGATTTTTTTTTTCTTTCCTCTTTCTTTTATAATATTGTGTGGGCTGGGTCAGGGACTACAGGTGGAAACTAGCACCCAGAGCTATAACCTGATACAGTGCATCTTTCCTTCTATGGCTAATGCATACTGTATATTGTCCCTGTTTTAAATAAAGGTTATGCAAAAAAAATCTAGTCTTACATGTTGGAGCCAGAGTCTGACCCAGAGCCAGAGGAGAATGAAGACTACCAAATTGTAGCTGGTAAGTCCAGACATTACTTGGCAGCTCCATCGCAAATTCTGTGGTGTAAATACATACATGTCAACCTCTTCGGACGTTTACCTGTATAAAGAGCCTCAAAAATCCATAAATTTTGGAAGATGGCTGTTTGATGTTATTTATTGTTGTTGTTTTTTTTAAATCATCCTACAGGCTCTGACTTGTCAGATAAATTTGAAAATGAGGTTTTGAAGAAATCCGTAAGACTTGAAAACATCTGTGAGATTGTTCTACCTGCAAAATGATGTAAAATCCTTATAATTTACAGACAGTCCGTACAAATTGACATGTACGTAAATATCTACGCAGCAACGGCAGAAGCTAAATTCAACTTTTCTGCACTCCTAGAGAATCCAAGTACACAACAAAATGTATTTCATGGCTAAAAAAGTGGATTTTGCACGATATGTCCCATTTATTGTTAAATGAGGACAACGAGCTGACTATAGAGGAAGATGAGAATGCAGTGACATCAGGATTTTAGCCTGACAGCCCTCAAAAACTCCTTTTTCTTCCCCAAGTCAATATCTCAGTTTCATTTTTCACTGATAGGAAAGGGCTGTGAGACGGCGGTCACAGTGTCCTTCCTCTCAGAGACAGCTGTGCATACTTTTGCCTGGCTGCAGACAGAGCATATCGATCTGCATACCTGGAATATGCTGGCGCCGTAAGGAGTCCTCCAAGCATTCAACAGATTGTCCTTCCCAGTGCTTACAAACCATTTACCTGCAAAGAAAATGAAAAAGTGCCATAAGACCACCTTGAACAAATAACAGTAAAACAACCTTGGTATTAACATTTATCGCATCTGCAGCTTTGATGCATAATGCAATGTTTTAACTGTTATGCAGACAGTATTGGATGTTTATTCATACCACAGTAGGCAAATTTGAGGGAGAGAACGCAGCTCTCGTGCAGGTGGAGCTGGTACTTGTCAGGCTTTGAATGGTGGAGCACCTCCACGTTACTGCTCTCCATACCCACAGCCAGCCACTCTCCAGTTGGACAGTAGCCCAAAGAAAAGATCTGACAGAACAAAACTGTAATTACTGGCAGTTCAGGGAGCTAAAGAAAAACAACTCTTTGCGACGTGTAAAAGTTTGCAGGTTATGAATTTCCTCTGGGACGTACCTGTGAAGTGAAATCATGCTGCTGCAGCTGTCGACCCTCCCTCAGATCCCAAGAGCGAACGGTGTTATCGAGACCGCCTGTCCACAGCTTAGTGCCATCATGGGAAATGTCAATACAGCTGGCACCATCTGTATGACCCTGGAACTGCCTGCAATTAAAGTAAGAAGGCACACAAACACTTATTGACATGCTTTTTAAAAATGACTCACACATAAGCAGTTCTGTTAAGGGGCCAAAGCCCACACACTGGGAGTYGTTTTATTTTCCCCCAACCTGACAAGCGTCTGGTTGTGCAAGTCCCAAACGGCAATGTTTCCATCGCTGCAGCAGGAGAAGCAGACTTTGGCGTCGGGGCTGATGGCCAAGGCGTAGCACGCCGGGGCCGAGGAGGTGAGCTCAGCCTTGATGCGGGGTGTCTGCGAGGCCAGATCCCAGATGGTTAACGTGCTGGCCTCGCCTCCAACGATCAATGTGCGACCATCAGGCAACAGCTTACAGGATCGGATGTAGTTATCTCTGTTCTGTTGCACAGAGGACAAAGACAAATCAATACATGTTCGGGGCAGTGGAAGAAGAGAGCGAATTAGGAACAGATCTTGAGAAAACAGGACCAAAAAGGTGTCCTACATAATAAATCAACCAGAGGGTGTTCTCACACTTAACTTAGACTGAGTTTACAGGCTGTTCAATTTGCACAATTCTTTCATGATGTTCACATTTTCAAAAAAAACATAAAAAAATAAAATAGAATTCACAAAATTTCAGCAGAGGGCCCTACCAGACAGTCCAGTTGGGACACGGGACTCTTGCTACCAGGTTGGCTGATATCCCAGATTTTGACACAGCCTTTGCCACCCGTGTAGACGTGACGTGTGGGGTTGCTAATGGTAACGGCACACACCACCTCGCCATGGCTGAGCGTGTTGATCTGACGGGCGTGCCTCGGGATGCCGGGGCCAATGAGGGCATCGGGTGGGAAGGGCACGGGCTGCATCTGGCCATCTGCACTGACGTGGAAGGAGTAAGCTATAAATAAATAAATAAATAAATAAATAAATAAATAAATAAATAAATAAATAAAAGGAGAGAGAGAGAAAAATGCAGGCATTAGTTACTGTTGCTGATTCTAAAAAATAGATAAGCATAACAGAGTTGGTGAGAAACTTACGGTTTGCCACCAGAAATAGATGTGAGGCTGGCTGGAAGACCTGGGGCTCTCATGTGAGTGTGAGGATCAAACCCCTAGAAAACAACAAAATGTGATCAGTGTCTGACTTGTGATCATGGAAAAAAATCCCACATTGTTCAAATTATGTTTTTCTTCTAAACTTGGCACAAAAAAATTTGCCAAATCTTCTCTGCCAAACAGCTTATTTTGCTTTGAGCTTCTGGTACCTCCAGGTGCCCGCTATAAGATTTATTGCCAAGAAGCATCGTTACAAAAAAGGATTAATCCACCAAACACACAGTTCCTTAATTTTGCGCTAAGTGTAGATTAAGCCAATAACAGCAGAAGTCGTTACCATGGGGGAGCGTCCATAAGCGGCAGCCGCTGCAGCACTCATCTGAGGGGAGATGTGAAGACCAGCGTACACCCCGGGATTTGTCAGGCCTCCATTCATTTCATGGTGGCCCATCATGGCAAAGGGGGAGGGATAGGAGCTCGCAATGGACAGAGGGGTACGCAAAGCTGGTGCTGCTACAGACAAAATCAGGAGATGGAATTGGTTTTTCTTTTTGTTTTTTCACATAGCAGTACTTTGGAGGAAAAATGGTAAAAGATTATCTGGGAAGGGACACAGAATGGTACCAACCGAGAGCTTCCATGCCTGGTGGCTTGCCCAGGATGGGTCTGAGCCCAGGAGTAGAGCTGGTGCCAGGGGTGGGGGCATCGTTACGTGGGGTGGGGGTGTTGGATTTGAGACCAGGCGTGGAGGATTTGTCATTCTGTCAAGGGAACAAGAGAGCGAGCACATTCACAATCCCAGAAGCCAGGCTCTGTGCAGACTGACAATTTGAGAGCAAGTTGAACCTAATCCAATCTAATTCTGACAACCCTCATAGTCTTGCAGAGCCATAAACTGCTATTTATTCTAAAACCTATTATAGTCACAATGGAGATGGGGCTGTTTTCATCCCTTTACTGCTTTAGCTTTAATCTTTCGATGAGGCAGAGGCAGAAGTCCTGGAATACTTAAATACATTGAGCTATTAATGGAGAAGACCTGACTGATCCTGATGTGGGACAATATTATCCCTGACATTTTAGTCATGCACTTAAAGCACAGACAGCCATTCCTAATCCACAGCAGAAAACGCTCTAGATGTATTTGCACATATCCCTTTGCTCTCTCTCTCTCTCCCTCGCTGCAATTCGATTATAAAACACTTTCTGTCCTAGTTTGTCTGCGATTTTCTCGCTGTCTTACATGGCTGAGTTCCTTGGCCTTGGAGGACGGTGTGCTTCCAGACGATGCCACGGACGCAGGGCTGTTTGGCGTGTCCTTTTTGGGTGGGCGCGGCTTATCGATGCCGTTTTCCGGTGGCGAATGGGCTGGGCTCGCCCTCGGGGTGGCGGGATCCTGACGAAAACGCAGCAAATGTTTATGCAAAGGTCGCATCGTACCCTAATTAGAAAGTCATGTGCTTCACTGCTCACCTCATTAGATACATCTACAACCAAGTCATCACTCTTCTCCCCGTCACTGTCCTGCAAAGACATTTAGAAAAATAAATCACCTATAAGCAGATATACTTCAGATACACATCTGGCGTCACAGTGTGTGTATATGTCTGTGTTGGGGTGATGGGGGCTTTGCAGCTCTGTGAGATTTTTCTTGCTGAGACTTGGATGAGCTCGGAGCCAGGAGCGGCAACTTCCTACATTCTTGTTGTCACTGTGAGGTTGCCAGGCAACCAACAAAGACTCCAGGAAATCAGCGTTCCCTGCCAAAATCTTTCCGCCACATAACCGAGAACATAATGTGTGCAAATTTGACCCCACCTTTGTGAACTGGCATTATAACGAGTTAAATAGTTACCAGGTAAATAACACTTCCCATCACACCGAATTCCTCCTTTAATGACTTACATATCTGCTCATGCTGTCCTTCTCTTCCACTTTGCGCTTTTTGGAGTCCAGACTGTAGTCTGAAGAACTGCGKTGCTTCTCGCTGGCTGTTCGTAGGCTTTCTGATGGAGATATCGAGTTATTCTGCAAACAAAAAACATCTCTTATTACCGCTTTGTCTCTTTTTGCGAAAGAAACCAGCAAAATACTCCTTCATTATAAACTTACAGGGAACCCAAACACCAAAAATACCTTATTTATAAAAAAGAGGCATCTGTGAGCCAGATCCACACAGTACCCTGACACCAACTGAACCCAACCTCATACACAAGCCTGTCCCTGACCACATAACAGACTGAGCTGTTATCTGAATTGAAAGCCTCCCACCCCCAATAACTGGACAACAAACAGCCTCACAGGGACATGAGCAGTGTGTTGTGGCTGAACAGAAGGCCTTTTCTCCAGAGTCATTTGGGCTAAGCATGAGAGAGAAATAATGGTGGGGAGCGGGGGGAGGGGGCACAGTGAAGAATTGTATGCTGTGGGTTCTGGACGTTAAATGCAGCAGCACACTTGGGCACCATGTCAGCTCAGACTTTGAGCTCCGATAAAGAAAGAGAATCTAAATCCTGCCAGTGGGCATGGCGGCATGGGACTGGCTGGTGCTTCTTCACGGAACCTGCCTACACAAGCTGGGACAGCTCACTCCCAACGCCAACAGAAGGGAAGGCACTGGGAAGGGGTCCAAAAGCTTCCTCTGGAGTTTGCCATTTGCCTGCAAACTGCCAAGTTGTCCCAAATCTCTCCGTCCCTCAACAAAGCAACCGCATGGACAAAAACAAGAGGAAGGAACAACGGCGGACGGATTGGGAGCCCGGGCAAAGGGCCACTGTCTGCATAATGGCTGACCTTTAAAGAGATGCTTAGCGTGACTCATTAACCAAAGTCACCACTCTACTATCAGATGACCTGGGACGAGAAGAGAGAAACAAATCGGGCCTGCTAATCGCCCCAGGAGTTCCTGTTGCTTCAGACATGACTGCACCCATTCAACCAGCCCCAGCTTACAGAAATACAATCTCACAGACCCATCACAAGTCTGCCAACATCCCAGCATTTCAAATAAAACGTTTTCTGCAGACAGAGCGGAGCGAACGACTGCAGAGCTCTCCATTTGTGAATATAAATATTCATCCTACACCAACGAGACGAAGAAGAGAGCTGGTAAACAAGAGAGACAGAATAGAGGGGATCAAATAAATCCTTTAAGATGGGCGGGTGGGGGTTGAGGGGGAATCCACGACCTCCTTTAATTGTGATGAAATTACAAGGCTTCTAATCTCTCCGGCATGATAGCTGTCATTTCCCTTCTGGATTAAACACACAGGATTTCTACCCGAAACCTCATTTCCCATCAATTGTTTTAGTGAGCACAGATTACAACAACATATGAATTAA